TCTTTCTTTCTTCCTTGCCTCCCCACCCCTCCTGCCTTCGCTCTCTTTCTCCTTCTCTCTCACTCACCCAAATTCTTCTTTTCTCTCCCTCATTCTTTCACTCTCTTCCTTTTTTTTTTTTTTTTTTTTTTTTAAGTGGAGGCATTGGCTTTTATGGCAACGGAGGTAGAAAAGGCCCAGTGGCCCTAATTCTCTGTTAACATGGCAGGAAAAGGATCAGAGAAGCCCCCAAATCAGGGCCACGAGCTGAGGGAGATCTCTGGCCCAGTGCAGGTCTCCCACAGGGATGCCTCCAGGAAGGCACCCCTGCTGAATACAGTCCTAAACGTGGGATACAGCAGGGGTGGGGTTCATCCCCGCTGGCCCAGCTCCAGGAGTCCCTGTCAAATCCCCCCGCCCTGTCTGTCAAGAGAAGGGATGAGCCCCCTTCCCCGCTGCCTGGTGCAGCACCAACATTGTGCTTTTATTTGTCGGAAAACATTCACCTTCAGAGCCAAAGCTTCGGGTGGTGGAAAGCGAGCAAGTGAACACCGCCTACACCATCCCCTCCAGAATCGAGTTTCCCGGAGGCTTTGGGGAAAGCAATCTCACGGTCACTGTGCAGCCCTTGATGTGGTGGAAGGGGGGCTGGGGATGGGCCAGAGGGACCAGCCCTCTGAGCTTCTCGTTTTCCTCCATGAAATGGTGATATGTCAAGTGAGGGAGATGTTCCCCTGGCGGAATACGGGCGGAGCGGGCACTTTTCTACAGTGGGGTCTCGAGCGTCCTGGGAACGGCCTGATGGATTGGCTCTGAAAGAGGCAAGGCCCCCAAGACCAGGAGGCCCGTTGTCCCCATTTGGGACCTCCCCTAAACGACATAGCAAGGCCTCCTCCAGCTTTAGGGAAAGAATGACCCCTAAAGTGTGAAGCTCACAGAACGAGTTAGAAACATACCCAATCCACGGGCACTTGGCGGGCTCAGTGGATTAAGCGCCTGCCTTCAGCTCAGGTCATGATCTCAGGGTCCTGGGATTGAGCCCCACATTGGGGGATCCCTGGTCAGTGGGGAGTCTGCTTCTCCCTCCCCCTCTACCCTTGCTTGCTCACTGTCTTTCCAATAAATAAATAAAGTCTTTAATAATTAAGAGGAAAAATAAAAGAAACATACCCAATCTAGATGAGAACCACAGCTTTCCCATCTCTCCCCATTACTGCCTGATGGTACTTTAGGGCACGTTTTTTCTCCGTTTTGCACCCAGCCATCCCCAGCCTGTGTTCCAATGTGGAGATCAGCTTTGGCCAGAGGAGGCAAACTTTTCTTTCTTTCTTTTTTTTTTAAGATTTATTTTTTTATTAGAGAGAGAGAGAGAGGGTGCACGTGTGAGTGGGGGGAGAGGCAGAAGGAGAGGGAGAGAGAGAATCTCAAGCAGACTCTGAGCCCAACATGGGGCTTGATCCCAGGACCACAAGATCATGACCTGAGCTGAAACCAAGAGTCCGACACTCAACAGCCTGAGCCACCTGGGCGCCCCCCGAGTAGACAATCTCTGAGCGTCCTCTGAACGTGGGGCGAAAGTCATAGGTCCTAGTAAATGAAGTTCAGGTTGGTGTCGTTCTGTAGTTGAGCAGAAGAAAGTCAGTTGATGGGGTCCACTTAGGTGAATGCAGTCAGCCCCCTGTCATCAAAGAAGGCTCAAGGTCAAAACTGTTCAGAGCCAAATTACCAAAATACGAAAAAGATTCTCTTAATAAAGAATATATTCATTATATTTCTTCCTAGTCAGCTGGGATACGGAAGGCTGGGAAGCCACAGGGTGTTCCTGAAGGTTTGTTTCTCTGGGGGGATCTCGAGTTTGGGACCTGCAGGGGTGAGGCAGTCTAAGAGGGCAAGCCCAGCCTCACCCCCTTGCAGCCCGTGCCTCATGTCAGTCCCCAGGCCCACAGCGATCCCATCTGGATGTCTGACCTACCCATCCCTCCCTTTACCCCCTTCAATGGACACCAAGAGCAGAACCCTTGCAACAGAGACCAGGTGCCTGGGGTGTCCCCATTGCCCTGCCATTTCCCAGCCTCAGTGGCTGCAAGTCTGGCAGAGATGAATCGGACAGTCCTTCAAATGGAATTTAGGGGATAAAGGGCAAACCAGGCAACTGGAATGACATAATTATAAGGAAAGTGAAATCAGTCCCCAGTGGTGGAGTCCACTGACCTGCTTGTCCTGGGATATCGGGTGGCCGGTTCTGCAGCTGGGAAGCTTGTCCTTACCGGCAGTCTGAGTAGAGCCTGGGGTCACTGTCTCCTCAGCGAGGGGAGGGAGTGCCTTGAATAGGTGGTAAGTGGGGCCCCCAAGGTTCACAAGGGACACTGAGTCAAATAGGACCCATGCAGAGAAAGGTAAGCAGGAAGAAGGCGCATGGTCTAAGAAGCAATATTGGGGAGAGGGGTTTTTCTGGGGTGTTTGGTCCAGAGAGGTGAAGGTCTAGAGAGAAATAGGGCATCTAGGTTGAATAACTCAAGGCCTGCTGTGGGGAGGAGGGCCTGCCTGGCTCTGTGACTTGATGTCTTAGCAGAAATCTTCGTCGGCTTTGGGATCTGTACTGCACAGTCCTTTGATGAGCTCCTCTTGTGTTTGCCTGCTCTGCACATACACTTCTGCTCAGAGTGCCCCTAGACGACCTTGTGAAGCACCCATGTCCCAATCTTTCTGCGTGGTTCCAGTGGGGCTGCTCTTCCCTTTGGCCTAATTGACCCAGCTGATCCGTGCTTGGCAACGCCACCCCGGTGGGGGACAGCAACTGGCTACTGGCTAATAGGGGGCAAGCCTGGAGTGGCTGTGCTTTCCAGAGACAGCCTTGCTGAGGGGGAAGCCAGCCCATGGAAAGTAGAGGCATGGAAAGAGCTGGAGACCAAGAGCTGAGGACACTATGGGTCCTTGGTCCTGGCAGGCTTGAAACCAGCATACCCTGAACCTCTCTGTTACCTGACAATGCATTGCCCCTCAGCGTAAGCCAGCTGGGATTGGGCTTCTGTTACTTGCAACCAGGAGTGCCCATACAAATGTCGCAGGTCCGACTTATTCTACCGCTTCCTTATTCCCTAAGTTGGCACAAGATGGATGATACCAGGGAGGCTTGCTTGCTAGGTGCCATGCATGGTGGAAAGTGCTAGACGTGCACTATTTCCCACACGACTGAGAGTCTTACTATCCAGCATACAGATGTACAAGTAAGGAGTCTTTCAGCACCTATAATGGAAAACCCAGCAGCTTGTGCTGTGCCAACAAGGACTCCCTTTCCCACTGTCTTCCCTCTCTGGCTTCACACTGAGGCTCTACACATTGTCCCCTTGGCCATCCCCAGAAGCCCAGCAGGCATTGCCTTCCACCTCTAGTTCCTGATCAACCGTTGCCATAAATCACACCATACAGAACAGGGTGGGGGGTGGGGTCGGGAGGTTTCCAGAGGGAAATTCTGCACTCATACATGGGAGTGAGGAGAGTTGACAGTGGACAGAAAACAGAGGCCAGCGCCATAAGGCTACGATGTCACATCTCCTGCCGCGATCACATAACTGGGCAGCGTCCAGACAAATGCTCGTGGCAAAACTCTCCCCTGCTGTGTTCTGCGTCTTCCTCTTACTGCTTCTTGTCCTGTCTGCTCCTGGAGCAGGCGGCGGGCTGCAGGACGAGCCACCAGCCCTGGACCCCAGAAGTGAGGCACCTTTCTCTCTGCATTTTGGCCTCATCTCTCCTCAGAAGGTTTGGGGATTTGAATCCTCTTTCCAGCACCTTTGTGGTTTTCTGGCTTCCCTGTACACTGAAGGCAACACACAGCCTGCTGGGCCAGGTGCACAGAGCAGCCCCTGAAAATACGGTGGTCATGTCTCCTTCCTCTCGACCAAAGACAGAATAGAGGTAATGCCTTGATCTCCCAGAGCAACTAGTCAGACAAAAGCAGGGCCCTCCTCCCCCTGAACTCGACATCGTACCTCCTTTCCCTCCTTTGGGTTGAGAGAAGTTGGCTATGCTTGTCAGACCTCTGGGTGTGACATCCACCTGCCAGGTGTGCTGGAGGTGAGGGAAGATGCTTTCCTACCTGCCGTCCCAACATGCAAACCACTGAACAAAGGCGCTGGCCTCTGAGATTGGGAGTAAGAATGTCTTGTCACCATGGTTACCAGGAAATGCTCCCACTTACATATAATAAGGGCTTTAGAAGACGCCAGGCCATCTGATATTCCAGGCTGGGGCCAAATGAGAGGGTGTCTGGAGGTCTATTCCTTATGCTCTTACCCGAACACGGTGGTGGGCCAGGTACTGAGCCCCGCCCTGGAAACAAGCCTTTATTTTATTGGGGGGGGGCAGGACAGAGGCCTGGGCACCGTCGCCCAGCGTCCCTTTGTTACCCAGCCTTTAGTCCTGCCTCTGGCCACGACCGTGCTGCAGGAAGGAGTGGGCGCACAGGCTGGGTGTGTGTGTGTGTGTGTGTTGGGGGGGCGGTCACCCCAGATAGGGAGCTGTGGTGGGGCGGGCGTTGGAGAAGCCAGTCGTCTTCTTTAGTCCTCACGCTCCCACCTGGAAGAAGGGCAGACGAGAAAAGAAAAGACAAGACCCGGCCTCCTTCCCTTCCAATCTCCCTGACAACCCCCCCCCCCACGCCCCGCACCACGCACACAGCCGCGCGGGCTTGGGGGCGGCGGTCCCGGAGGGAGACCCCGCCGTCCGTCGGGCGCTCAGGGCGGCTGGTCCACCCGCCTCGAGTTTCTGGGCGCGGGGGATCCGGGGCTGTGGAGAACCCGCCGCACCTGCCCGGCCGGCAGCCGGCACTTCCGCGGGACCAAAACAAGAGCACGCGCACCTGCCGGCTCCGCCCCGCCCTGCGCTACGGCCAATCGCGGCTGCGCGGGCGGGGCGCGGGCGGGGCCGGCGCGGCGGGGCGGGGCCGAGGAGCCCCAGCGGCAGCCCGAGCCCGAGCCCGCGCGGGGCGCAGCGGCCCAGCCTGGAGCGAGCGCAGCCTCGTGCCCGCCGCCCGTGCCCGCCGCCGCCGCCGCCGCCGCCCGTGCCCGCCGCCCCCAGGGCATGGCCTGTCTGATGGCCGCTTTCTCGGTCGGCACCGCCATGGTGAGTGAGCGCATCCTCCGCCCGCGGGGCTTTCTTCCGTTCCCCGGCAGAGCCAGGAACGCACAAAGACCCGCACCCTCACCCTGGCGGCCGCCCCTGGGTTCCCGAGGAGAAGCCCGGCTCCGACTGCCAGCCCTGACCACCTGGAGACGCGGGGTGCTCCTTGCGCCCTCAGGGGCCGCGGGGCAGGCGGAGGGGCCAGGAGCCTGCGGGGGGCGGCCAGCAGCCCCACAAGTGCACCGATTGGCCCCCCCTCGGCCTCCTCCGGGTAGGGTCCTGGGGCCGGGTTCCTGAGCGCACTGGGGAGGGTGGCAGCTTGGGTCGGAGCGAAGGGGCGGGGGTCCTCCCTGCCGGCACGCGCGGCCGGGGCTCGGGAACCGGCACTTCTCGCGCCACCCTCCGGAGCGCCGGGCACGGTCTGGGGGAACAAAAGAGGGAGCTGCTCCCCGAGAACCGGAGCCTGCTCTGCCCCTGGCGCTCCCCGGGGGACAACAACCTCTCCCGGACCTGCTGGGGAGGGGGCAGCCGATTCTGGGGAGGCAGCCCAGGGACCAGCCTGGATACCTGCAGGCCACCTTTTCCGCACCCTGGACAGAGACCGGGGTGGGGACAGGGACGCGGGTCTCCCGCTCCCGAGGGTGCCAGATCCGTAGGGGACCCCCAGGCGCCGGCAGATGAGTATGAGACACAGTGACGTCACGGCTTGTCCCAGGGATGGACCAAAGTCTCCTCTTGCCCCTTTCTTAGAGCTCCTCCATAAATTCACATTAGGAAAAAAACAACCCAAAATACCCAAAACAACACACTAGCCGCCGACCCATCCATCCTGGGGCCTTTTATTTTTCTGCCTAGCGCCCCGACCTTGCAGTTCGGCACTTACGGACTAGATCTCGGGTCATCTAAAGTACAAATAGGAAGTATTCCGAATCCTAGCCCACCTCGCCCTCCCTTTCCAGCCCTCTCTCCGTCGTCTGCCTATGGATTTACTATCCTGCTAATTACTCCCCATAGGCTGGGAGCCCACAGCGCGCAGCACGCACCGGGGTTTCACCCCCACCTTATTTAATTTTTAGCATCCTGTGTTTGAAGTCAGCAGGGCTCGGCAGGGTTTGACCGACAGTTACCTCTTGCCTTGAGCCCAAGGGAAAAAAAGCGTAGCTGGCTGTCTGCGCATGCGCTCCCTCACCACCGCATCCCAGGCCTCCAAACAGGTTACCGTAGAACACATACCGAGCGTCGCCGGCTCATTATATAATGATTTTGTGTAAACCGATAGAATGGGGCTGCAGGCGTGCTTGGGACGTTGGTGGAGCAGGGGCGGGGGCGGGGGAAGGAGGACTCGCCGACCAGGTCCCCTCTGCGGCCATGCCTTGCCTTCCTTACTTGTCCTCTCAAGCAGGAGGTGGGGGATGCAACCACAGGAAAGGCAGCCCCTCCTCCTGACATTTGCTTTTATCTGATCCAACGTTCGGGTACGCCTGGCCATTCTTCCTTTTACATTTGTGCATAGCTCTGGGATTCCTAAATTATGCTGATAATGGAAAATTTGGGAGGTTATTAGGGTAGCTGTAGGTAAGGAAGGTTTCAGACCTTTTAGGTGCCAGGTAACTCTTGAAGTCCTTTCAAAGCTGCAAAAGTGGCTTATACATGTGAAAAAACAACGAATCGGAATGTTTTAAGATATAGATTTTTTTTCATGTCAGGATTTTTTAGTGCTATGTTCTAGTTTGAGGCAGACCCAGAACCCCACTGTTCTGTGCTCACATGGAGACACTAACCACTGGGCTTATTTCTTCGGGGAACATTGTTTTGTTTGAAAAACCATTTTCCTCCTCAAAAATCTTGTATTTTTTTTTTTTTAAGTTTAAAACATTCTACCCAAGTCGTAAACAAAGAGCCCCTGAGAGAGCCTCAGTGTCCTGAGCCTTCCCTCACTCCCTGCTCTGGGGTCCTACCTGGGACCGACTGTGCCAGGTGTGAGTCTGGAAGAGCTGACTTGGAAATTGCTCGAAGCTCCTGGCCTTGCACTGGGCTGGGAGGGGCAGGCACAAGGTCCCAGCAGGGTGGTGGTGTTCGGGGCTGATCAAAGTGGGGTTCAGTGGTGATGAAGTCTTCAGTCTAGGTGACCACACACGGAGTACCTGCCTTTGGCTTAGTTAAGGGTGTGACATGTGGATTATTTCCCCCATGGTAGTAGCCTTGAAGATTCCTGGCTAGCGTTTTCCTCTCAGGTGCCCGGGGTACCCGGCAGGGACTTGCCCTCCAATTGAAGGGTCCACTGGTCTGGGTGGGCACCAAGCCCAGCCTCGACACATGGGAGAGAGAACTGAGAGAGAAGCGTGTGCCAAATGCCTGCCGCCTGCATCTTCCTCTTCCTTTTCCTCCCTTCCCCATGAGCTGTGGGAAGAAGTTTCTATCTCTCATTGCGTGTCCCTGGGTAAATAGCGTGAACCAGCCTCACAGCGGCCTGGGGGCCTGTTAGAGACCCTCCCCAGCAAAACAGGCATCTCTGTATGCTTGTATTTCAAGTGAAATCAGCACGCAAGAAAATATTCTCAGGAACGACAGGCAGCAGCAGTCCCAGATAGGGTCTCCTCGGCATTCCACGCCCATGAATGGATTTACTATTATTTACCACTTATGCGGCACAAACTGCGTGTGGACGGGGAGGTCGAAGATCCCAGATGCTGGGAAAAAATAGGGAGACATGCAACGAAAGGGAACCAATGGGGAGGGAAGATGTATTTGTTTCATTTTTAATGAGCTCAGGAGGCTGAGGACAAGCTAGCTGTAACCTACATTGCCAGCCGCTCTGGTCTGCGGATCCGTTTCCAGAGAGCTGGTCTATTTCAGAATGACAGCCACTGCCTCCCATCATCCAAGGTTTCATGATTTTATTAAATGGGCAAGGTCATTGGATATCCGTGGAAGAAAGGTGGGTAATGGTATGCGCTGCTTGGGTGTCCGTTTTTTTTTTTTTGTTTTTTTTTTTTTTTTTTTTTTTTGAGGGAGGGTGATGGGATTCTCTGGTTTCCTCAGTTTCTTGTGGCTTTTACTCTAATGGGTAGGGGCTGGCATGACCCAGGGTCACGAACAACTTGCCTCTAGAAAGCTAAGCAACATGTGAGTGCTGTTAAGGACACTGGCTGGGATAGCCGGGCGCAGAGGGGAAGCCACAGGAGCTGGACCCTGGCTTGGCTACTCATTAACCATGGGTCTCCGGCAGGAGGCCTTCTCTGTGTCTTAGAGCCCAATTCTGAACAGAGTGGGAGATGGCGATCCCCCCAGTGCTGTGGAGATAGTAAGAGGCATCCCTTCTGCAGCCTAGAGTTTCCTGGGTCTAGGGCATTGTCGGGCCCATAGTCACTGTTGTCTATGATCACTCACCTGGGATGTGGGAGGCATTATTTAATACTTAAATAATGAGTCCTTGACTCTGCCTCCTCCCACCCTCTCTCCCAGATCAGTTTAGTCACCCCGCTTTGTCCTACTGGCCTGTCCGCTTGCCTCCCTCCCCACCGCCACTAGGTGCTTAAGGCCACCGTCACCCTCCCATATGCATGTCGCCGCAGGAGATGGTTTGTAATTACAGTTTCTGGTCCATTGCCTCCATTTCAGAACCCTTGGTGCCCACCCCCAAGACTTCTAGATAAAGTGCAAAACCCTTCACAGGGTTTGCAAGTGCTTCACACGCAGACCCCATGTGTGTCCAGTTTCCTCTGAGCCTCCCACCCTCCCTCCTTCCCTACCACCTGGAAGCGGAGCTCCAGCCTCTGAATGTCCCTCAGATCCAGATGTTCTGCTCCCTCCTGCCGCTGAGCCTTTGCACATGCTCTTCCCTTGCAGGCGCCCTCCTCCCACCCCACCTGGTCTCATTCCGGCTCTGGCCTCAGGGCATTGTGACTGCCCGCAGCACTCTTGTCTGGGACCCCAACCTTGATGGGGAGCTTGCTGTCTGCCTGGCTGGCTTGACCCCCGGGGCTTTGCTGGGGGCTCTCATTCCTGGACGAGTGAGTGAGCAAGAGAAGAGACGGGCTTGGAGTCTGCCTGCCACAGCCAGGGAGAGCGCGCGGCACCATCTGGACGGGCCGTGGCAGCTGGGAGGCCAGGGTGGAGGTCCTGGGAGCCGCCTCTGGTGGGGAGCCGCTGGATCTCCCTGCTCCCAGCTGAATCCCCCACAGCTGGAGCTGGGGCTGCCTGTAAGATGTGGGTTTGGAAGCAGACATTTCGCTTTTCCTCGGAGGTGGCTAGTGCGGGGAGCACAGGCTTTGGGGGGCAGGCCTGGAGCAGACGGGTGGCGCTCGGCACCCGCTGTAGGTGCTGGAGCGGTGTTGGGTGTGTCTGCCCGGTGCCCAAAGTCAGGTGTGTGCTGAGCTAGGGCAGGGCCTGCTGTCATTCCTTCAAGGGGCCCCAGCATGGAAGGCAGCGGGCAGAGCCGCGGCAGAGGCCGTGTCCCGCACACCCCACCCGACCCCCACCGCAGAGCAGAGGGGCCCTGAGGAGTCCGTGGCCAGGCAGACGCAAGCCTTCCCGGCCTCAGCCTCAGGACCGCAGGAACCTACTTCTGTTTGCGTGTGAATGTTTCACATGTTTGGTGCCAGCATCAAACCGAGCTTAATTTTCTCAGTTTTACTTGGCACTTGAATTTTTATCCACAGAATGTTAGAGTCCGTGAGCTAAGTTTTATTTGGTTAAGCTTTTCAGAGGTAGGAGATGCCTGGGAGGGCTGTGTGTGTGTGTGTGTGTATGTGTGTATGTCTTTTACCTAAACAGCAGAGCAACATTTTCAAACATGACAAGAACCCGAAATCCGTGTGCACACATCGCCCCTCGCCCGACGTGTGCTTCTAAATACTCGGAAACTTAGAGCAGCCGAGATTTTTTTTTAAAGATGTATTTGTGTATTATTTTAGAGAGGGGGCGGGGCGGAGGCAGAGGGAGAGAGAATCTCAAGCAGACTCCCGCTGAGCGAGGAGCCCCATGTGAGGCTTGATCTTGCGACCCTGAGATCATAACCTGAGCTGAAATCAAGAGTCTGACATTTAACCACAGGAGCCACCCAGCTGCCCCAGGCCTCCAAGATTTCTGAGGCTTTCAATACCGTGATGGAAAGAACCCCAGCTTTTCAGTGGTGCAGTCAGGGACCCTAAAGAGGGCGCTCTAATGGGGGGAGAGCGGGGTGTCCTCAGTCCTCCCGCGGGCAGAAGGGCCAGGATCATCGGCAAGGGTGATCGATGGGCTCTCCCAATATGGCACTCAACTGGATGGAGGAGAGGTGCCAAAGGCCCTCACTTTGGCACTGTGCAACGCTCTCTTTGGACTCGAGAGACAGCCAGGAAAAGCACCACGCAGTCTTTGTCCGCTCCAGGGTGGCTCTGTGTTTTGTACCTGAAGCCCATCGATCTGCTCAGGGTTGCCAAGCTCTTAGATAAAGATGTTCCTTTCTTTGCATAAATACTTTCGGTGCTTGGCATACCTATGTGCTGACTCCCAAGGGAAGCTTCCAGAAGCTGACGTTGCTACCCAGTGTCAGGTCCTCCGGTTGCAGCAGGAGGAACACCTCCTCTTTCGATGACTCGGTTCGGGGATCAGTGCTGCCCCACGCCGGACTGTAGGGCTCGCAGCAAGATCCAGAGAGTGTCTGAGTCTCCATTTTGTCATGTGTACAACAGAGAGAGCGAGCAACCAGCCTCCCCAACGTCCCGCGCTAGGAGGAGGAGACAGTGAGAGGCAGAGCTGGAAGTGAACTGGGAAATTCGCAGGAAGACACAAGGCCGATGCCTGCCCAACCGAGCCTCGGCTCTTGGAAAATGTTCTTGAGCTTCCACGGGAAGGCACTAAAACAGCTCATTTTAAGTCAAACGCTCCCAATTACACATTTCTTAGGGGCTCCATGCATCTGTACCTGGTATTTGAATGAGTGGACTTCGTGTAAATACATCATTTTCACGGCAGCCAGTGTTTGGACTCTTTGAGACAAGCAAGTCCTTTGTTATAGTTTCGAGAGTCGATCTGAGGATTCCGCAGTGAGATTTTGGTAGATTAGTTTACTCTTCTACCTTAGGCATATAGATATATATATAAATGCAATAGAAGCAGTGATAGCGAGAGATGACCAACCCCTCCCGGTCAGCGCGGGGCGGTCACGTCCCAAGGGTTGCCGTGGGTAATCGGTGACCCCGAGCCCCATGGCTAGTCCCTGGCGCCCTTCCCTTTGCGGAGCTCCTCACCTCTCTTGTGCTTCCTGCCCGTCTCTTCTAGAATGCCAGCAGTTACTCCGCAGCCATGACCGAGCCCAAGTCCGTGTGCGTCTCGGTGGACGAGGTGGTCTCGGGTAACACGGAGGCCTCGGAGACCGACCTGCTGAACGGGCATCTGAAGAAGGTAGACAACAACCTCACGGAGGCCCAGCGCTTCTCATCCCTGCCACGCAGGGCGGCTGTGAACATTGAATTCAAGGACCTCTCCTACTCGGTCCCGGAAGGACCGTGGTGGAGGAAGAAAGGTAGGGAGGGCTGCTGTGCGCACAGGGCGGAGGGGGGTAGCCTGCGGGGGGTGGGGGGGGAGGCGACAGGTGGGCGGGACCATCGGAGTCTGGAATTCAGGAGGCGGGAGCCTTCCCACTCCCATCCCTGCTGCTGCAGCCAGTTTCTTTAATGGCTTTGTGGCCGACTTGTCCTCGCCTCTAACGTGAACAGGCTGGATGAGCGGACTCCCGATTCCCGCTGGCTCTTCTGTCCTGGTACGATGACAGAGACTCTCAGCGTCCACGCGTGCTGGCTGCCCCTGTGGGCTCGGCCCTCTTTGCTGAGTGCCCTTGATGTTGGTCTCTCAAGAGGGGATGGTTTCTGACTGTTTTGGAGGAAAGGAAGGCAGGGGCTCCCTCCCAAGTTTGAAGGGGTACAAAGTAGCTGGTGACCTAGCGCGGCCTCTCTGGCACCCGATCGTCTGCATTGTGAATAGTGACGAGGGGATATGAATAGACCATTGTCCAATGAGCTGCGGAAAGGAAGACAGAGGACCGGGAGGCTCTGGGTTCGCCGTGGTTTGCTGCGTGTTCGCGGGATGTGGCGACCGACGCCGCTATTTGGAGTTTCCTTGCGCCCCGCGTGTTCTGTGCTGGCTCTGGGTTTCCGAAGTGTGTAGAGTTAATGCTTCCCTGAGTTGGCGTTTCTTTGTCCAGCCTGACCTGTTTCTTCCTGTGGACCTTACTCCGCGTGTCCCCCTGCACCGAGCGCCCATCCTGCACCCTCCTTCAGGCGGGTGGGGGGCCAGTTGGGAGAGGGCGCGTCCCACGTCCCCCCAGGAACAGCAGCCTGTGGGTTCTAATGAGCCATCTACCAGGACAGGGACGTCTGTGAGGAATCTGGAACAAGGACAGTGACCCAGGTGCTGCTCCTCGTTTTCCAGGATGACCCACCAAGACTTTTTTAGTGTTCATTTTCTTGTCTTTTCCCGCTCTTACCTTCCTTTTGTTCTCCTACTCCCTTGACGCTAAGCTGTTGAGATTGTTGGCATGGACGCCCTCGGCTTCCTTGTGACCCCGGTGCTGGACCCTTGACGGACTGGCCCCTGGGACCTGCTCGCCACCCGGGTTGCCAGATGACTTCATGTCTGTTTGTACAACCAGGAACATGTCCTTAGTCTTATCAGTGGCCAAACGCACGCTGCCGTCTGACACTTGCGTTATCAGAGCTTTGCCGGCCAATGTTGTAAGGAAAGCAAACCTGTGGCGGGCTCAGGGTTGGGTCCGTCCGTGTGAGCCCATTAAAGTTTCAACACAGGCTTCCTCACAGCCTTTTCCTTCCCACAGTGAACGAAGAAACTTAGGGAAAACCTCGCCGAGCCACTAGGAGGGCCTCGTTGCTTTGGCTTGGTTGGTCTAGACAGAGACCGTGGCGGGCCTGCGATTTTGGCACATCTGTTACTTGTGGCCGCAGAAACGGCCATGAGGTTTGGATGGGTGTCCCTGACGGTGAAGGTGGTGAGAAAACGGTGGAAAGAATCTCGGTTCGACATGCAACACAGCCAGTGCTCGCGGTTTGCGAAATGGAGAACAGCATTTCCTATTCAAGGAAGGGGCTTGTGGATCCCATGCTCTCTACGTGTTAGAACTCGTCGCGCTAATTGTCCAGGTCAGCCAGTGGTGACGGCCTCTTTATTAGTGAGGGAGGGGCCCCCCCTGCCCCTCCCCAGCCGCCTCCTTGGAAGCTCCGCCCTGGTGGCCTCCAGACAGAAGCTTGCCCTACAGTAACCTGTGTGGGCTCCGGAGGGGAGGAGCAGGAAGTGGGCCCCATGGGACCTGCTGGTGAGTCAGAGATGGTTGGGGCCAGAGGGGAAGAAGGGCAGCGTCGACCTGCTGTGTCCCAGTTGCTGGCTTCTGAACCAGAGGGGCCTGATGTCTGGCTTCCTTCCCTGCCCCCCGCTTCAGCACCTGTTTCCGCTTTGCTCCCCCAGCCCTTCCCCCCGCTGGGTGCCCCATCATTTCCTCTGTTCTCAGTACCCTGAAATTCGGAATTTAGATGGCTAACCACTTCCCATGAATTTAGAGTGGGAAATGCTTCTCACTGAGTAGAAAGGAAACAGAGCGGTGGAGGGGCTCGCCTGGGAACCTGAGTCCGGATGTCCCATGCCTCGCCTCAGGGAGACAGCACTGCCCCTCGGACTTGGTGCCCACAGGGTCTCGGCCCTGCGGCTTGGCGGGCTGGCTGCTGTATCAGGCTGCGAGCTGCGGCCAGGGAAACCCAGAGCTCCCAGTAGGCTCGGAACGTGGGGACCATATCTCCCCGACTAAGAGCCCCCCAGGGCAAATCATAAAAGTAGGCATTAAATTTGGAACCGGTCATCTGGGCTGCCCCAGGGGAGGTCCCTGGGCAGGGACCTGCCAATCTGCCTTTCCCACCCCGTTTACCACATTCTCATGGGTGAGCCCCCTCCTTCCTGGGGTCCCGCTCCTTTGCCCTCGGGGTGGGATCCTGCCTTTCCTGCTCTTGTTCCTCTGGCTGTTGGCGATTGCCGTGGCACCCAGCCATGATTCAGCTAAGCTGAGAAGTAAAACCCAGACAATCCGCGGGCCCGTTTCTCACTGGAGCCGTTGCATGTCCGGCATCCCCTCTGTGAGAGGCCACGTGTGGCCAACCTTTGGGGTGGGGGCTCTTTCTCTTACTTCTCTCAGCACGTGCGTTTTGCTGAATTTCTTTTTTAAGGCTTATTTACTTCAGAGAGAGAAAGAGCAAGCATGGGGTGGGGGGGGACAGAGGGAGAAAGAAAGTCTAAGCTGGCTCCGTGTTGAGCGTGGAGCCCCATGTGCAGCTCGATCTCATGACTCTGAGAACGTGACCAGAGCGGAAACCCAGAGTCAGACGCTTCACCAACTGCACGGCCCAGGCGCCCCGTGGGGAGGGCGGTTTGTTTAAAATTCAGCTTTCCGTGTTGAGCTCCCCAGAGCGATCACACTGGGCCTGGACGCCCTGGCATTTCCGGGACGTGAATTCCTGGAGGGCCCGGCTCCAGGGAACCACAGTGATGGTGCAAGGTCAGAGCCAAGGCCGGACCCGCGGTCCGACTCCTGCTCCAGCTCTCTTCCCATCACAGAGACACTGGACCCCTCCGTATGTTCCAGAGCAGCCTCTTCCTCCCACGGCTTCTCCCAGAACCAGGTGCTGGGACCCAGCTCGACACAGAATGTGGTAGCCAAGCTTGGCCATGTGATTGGAATAATGTTAGAAACTCCTACACGATCATTTTAAAGAGAGCGTCCTAATCCTCGCAAGAAAGGTGGCACGTAAATCAAATCCGTGGCATCATTGGGAAGATGTCAGGCGCTGGTTCTTTAAAACCCTTAAGCGGGACGATTGCCAAGCACTGAATATGGCATCGAACAAACATCTCTACACTTTCAATTGTCGTAACATTTTCACCATATGATTAATGATGTCTTTGGAGGAAAAACCAGATCATATAATAGATTCCTAGTAGAGAACATAATTGTGAAAAGAAGTGTTCTCGGGAGAACGAGTACACCCCAAGGATAATTTCACCAGCTTCTGATGTGGTAATTACTTTCCCCCAAGGAATGTACTCACATAGCACAAGTGGATGGGACAAATGATCTAGAAGAGTGTGGACGTGGGCACACACAAGCCCCTGTGTCGGGGACGTGTAGGGACGGTCTGCTCTGGAGGTCCTCATTCGCCCTCACTGTGACTTTGAAAGTGGCTTCCGTTCCTGTAAAGAAGACACCATGTTGGGAATGTTTAGGACCCCCGATTAAGAACAGAATCCCCCTCATGAAATTCTCAGGGGAATGTGCCACCGCGGGAGGTGACAGGGACGTCTCACACTTAAATAGCACTTGATGGCTTTCAGGGCTGGGTCACACAGGTGCTGTCCTCAGGATGTGACCCATCACGAGGAACAAGGAGAGTACTTGGGGTACTGGAGAGCAGTGCTCCCCAAGGAAACCCGGGTCGTTTCTGTCTGGAGAATTAAAGCCATGCGTGGGGCCCTTTGGCTCAGGGCCAATTCTGATTGGCCTCTCTCTCTCCCCGTGGAATGCATGAGGTTCAGAGATAGGCCCTGAGTCCCAGGTGCACAGAAGATGGCAATGGAAAAGCTGGTCTGTACAATTTGGGGCCAGGGCCCAGTGAGGAACCTGGTAAGCCCCTGGCCCCGAGGCCACGCACAATCAGACCACCGTGGCCCGGGGCTGTTGTGACCCATCTGATGAAACCATTAGGCAGTGCCTCGACTGTTAACACTGGTGGATGTCCCTTTTAATTGACCTGTGGGGTTGTCAGTCTCCTTTACCATTCCTAAGGACCCAGAAATGATCTCCTCGGCCTTGGGACAGGCTCCAGCTGTCCCGTCCCCTCACCAGAGAGGTGAGCTGCTGTGTATGGCTTTCACATAAACAGGTGACATGATTCTTAGAAATTATCTACGCCTCCCATGATTACCTGGCGACAGAATTCAGGCCGAGAAGGAAAGGAATCCTACCACGGGCGCTAGAGAGTTCTCTCCACCGCGCCTCGGCCTGGCACCTGTCTCAGCACGGGGATTCTGGTGCACGGACCAGCATATGGGCTCACTCTGAAACTCTACCTCCCAGCCTCCGCCTCACTAAATAACCAGGAAGGAGTTAGAACCTTCTGGGCGGATCCACATCGAATTATCCATCCTGCTCTGCGTCTAAGCTTTAAAACGCATTCTCAAATTAAAGTTTGCTTTCTCTTAATTTCCAAAGCTACCTCCCGGGCCCACAGTGACAGACGGGCTAAAATGAGTGGAATGCGCTAGCAATAAATCCCTTTCAGGAATTCCATTAAGGGAAGACTGGACTCCAACCCGGGGCTGGCTGGCTCAGTGCCAACCACGGGGGCAGGGACAGGGACAGAAGGCCTCGAGTGGAGGACTGTGGGGCTCCCGCGGTGGCTGTGGGCTCGCGGAAGGGTGGGGCTGCTCAGGTTCCAGGGGGTTCTGATGGCCCCCAGCACAAATGAATGA